CCCAGTGCATAAACGAAATTAGGAGAGATTGCACAGCACGGCATTGTGCCAACTCTGTATTAAACTTGGACTAATGGTACGGTTAGGGTGTCGGATGCACCGCATCATTGCAATATTTCAATGTAGGCAAAGTTTCGTGCCTGTGCAAGTTCAGGTCCCTCGATCAAAGCAAATCTATTCGGAATGAAAAATTTTGCCTCAGTCAATATTCTGCTCCTACTCACTTCGATTCCCTATTTGTTGTTACAGATTTAATTCGTAGGTGGACCAAAGAAATGCCACTCTCTGCTCGACATTCAGACGACTCCTTACGTTGTCACTGGAACATGAATGGTGACACAAATTTGAAGTAAATGTAAACGCTATTTGTCGTTAAAGTGAACTCCAATAAGTCACACCATATCAAATTTATGAATATAAATTCAGGATGGCTACCATACGGTGGATGGTGCGCTAATACTTGCACGTAAATACTATTAGTGTCTACAACAGATGTAGTTTGCCTGACATGTGATCGAATCGGGTGTATCCAAAAGAGTCCGAGCAGGTGGCTTTTTGGTTCTCAGCATGCGCTTCATGCAGCATTTCTTCACTGTGTGCATAGACTGCGTCTGATTGTGCTACATGGTTTAAAAGCGTAAACACTTGCAATATCGGTTTGTCTGAATGCGCCTATTGAGTGAAAAGTGAGCAGATCGGATAAAGCTTGTGGCCAAGAGGACGTCATCATCCCCTATCTCCGGAGGAAAGACAAACACTGGCTACCTAACAATCACTGATATCTGTGATTGCTGGTAAGATCCTAACACCACACAATGCAGAATGTCCTCCTTTCAGCATTCGTCTCGATGTAAGTAGGAGGAAGCGGAGGAAGGAGAGCAAGTCTCAAAAACCTCTCATCGTCGATAAACTAAGAAATTTGTGAGTGTAATGCAATCGGACGTTGTGGATAGGCCATGGAATCTTGTAGATCAAACGATCGAACACTTCGGGTGGATGCTAATGCTGCATTGTTGTCATTTTACTCGAGTCACATGACTCCTTCTCTAAAATAAGCAGAATTCGTGTACCTCACTACCTCGCTTTCCACATTTGCTAGTCAAAACCTATCCTATGTTTTACCGCAGAGCATTTCCCTGTTTGCGTTTATTAGTATTAGGGATTTTATTAAATGGTTTAATTATATTTAGTTGTTGGGAAGGTCAGAAGAGTTCTCCAACTGGATGGGAGATTTTAGACCTTTGGGTGTTATATAAAATTGGTAGAGTTTGGTGAAAACGTCAGAAATGAGGAAAAAGAAAATTAATTTTAAGGGAGGTTGTAAACTGCACAGACAATAAATGAGGAAGGTGTGGTTCCCCATTACAGTAGCGGAACGTGGACCAAAAAATGGCATTTGGACATTATGTTGAGACCCACATATCCTACTGAACCAAACTCGATTTTATCATTAAGGGAGTGTGTTTATCTCTAGGAAAAAATTTTATTCATACAGATTGCTGTTGATTTGTACTAGGTGACGTTTGCAGCCGCCTTCGTTATTGCAGTGGTGGTGTGTTTCTCGGATCAGAAAAATCTGCCAATACGCAGCCGTGCGTGTAGCACAGACATCTTTTCAAGATCGAGTCGCTACAACCCTGCCGTGGGTCTGCAAGAAATTATCACCATTAAAATAAGTGTTGACTGAAGTGAATGCCAATGGAATGGTTGTGGGTTAAGTGATCACCACCGTGGTCAACGGAACTGTCACAACCAGCTGTCAATGCTACTTACGTTAAAAGTACCATAGCTGAGTGACTGACAACCAATGTAAATAGAATTTTGCGTTGACCTCATGACACCGACTGAGTTATCGACGTGAAGAGGCGAAATTCGTCATTTTGGATATATTTGCCAAACTTTACCTGCGTGACGAAATGCAATTTGGGTGCTACCTGAAAGCCTAGTTTACACTGGCTTAATTTTACGCTTATGCGACCCACATTTTGTACATTGCAGTGATGCTGCGCATCCATCACCCTAGCCTTACCAGCAGTCCAAGTTTAATACAGAATTGGTATTATGTCGTGCTAAGTCGTCTCTCCTAACTCCGTTTCAGAACCGGGATGAGTTGGGTTTAATACATAATTCCTATCCGTCCTAAGGTTCCAACAATTTAGAGACTTTGGACTGCATTTCCATAAAACCCAAGATGAAAAAAATGACTGAAGCCTAATAGTGAACCATAAATGGCAAATCGCAGTTGCCCAGAATTCGACGGATTTGACACTTTGACACTTTGGATGCTGCAATCACGGAAATACCATAAAGTACGCTGCTTAAACAATAAAGACAATGCTGCTAATTAACTCAAATTTGAAGTTAATCCGAAATCCAAAAGCTAACCGGTGGTGTGCATCTTGCACTTTGTCCTGTCAAAATGAGTTGCACTTACTTATGAAAGGCTTGCTGTGCCTAGACTTTAGCTGAAAGACCTAGTAACTGCGAAACATTTAGCACAAAGTCAATAGACAATGCTTCATTAAGATGTCAGCCGCAAAATTTGAGCACAGCTGACGCTTCGCTGTAGCCAACTCTTGATTCCTGATTGCTTGCTCGTTGGTTACCCTTCAAAGTTGTGGTTCACTCATTCCTAATAGCACTACTGATTAGCCAGTTGTATAAGAAAAAAAAAGTGAAGTAGAGGCACTGCAATATTTTAAGTGAATGAGTAATTTGCGGAGACATTTGCCTAAGTTGCTAGAGGTGAGGGTAGCACGTATCATTTGGTTGAACAAGATCAATTTTAACATGGCCTTGAGTTCGCTTGTGCAACAATCGTTTACTAGCAGGAGCGAAAGAATATGCAACTGTAATTTAAGCACTTTTAGAAACAAAATTCAGTTGCTTTTTATTTGCATGCATTCAATGCCTCCAATTGCTGCTCAGCTTACTCATCCCATCGACAAACGAATATGTGCATATGGAAGTCCTTGTATTTAGACCACTTTGAGCGGCAACCCAACAGAATCCAATCCCACAAACACAGACACCGTTTAGTAATAAATGGGCAAAGGAGAAGTGAGTTAAAGAGAGCACCCTCATTGACTGCTTAAAAAGCAGCTACGCAACGTGTTGTGCACCGCATCTGCTCGTCTTCTTAGTCAAAGTGCTTCCGCCACCGTCATTTCAACATACAGCAGCCATTCACCCCCATATTAGCATCACCAGCACCTCTGCATCTCAAAAGAACTACCACAGACTACAGACTGAACCGCCTATCAGCCAGTCACTCCCACATAGCTTCACTCAGGCTGCTAAACTTGATGTCAAATGCTGGATTGCACAGGTCAAATATGCTTCATCTACCGTATCTCTAATAATGCTCAACACATACTGTGATTGGAGAGACGAGCAGAAACATCCTGATCCCAAAATAAATACTGCACTTCTGGCTGCTCTGTCATTTTGCATGAGTTATTAGTCTCAACTACCAGATAAGCTCTTTCTCTACCTTGGTTGTCATCTCTTATTTTTAGCCCATTTCCTCGTATTTTGTATGAAGAA